CAAGAAAAGACTGGTGGATTTGACAGAATCCAATGATTGTTGACATATTTCAGAGGTGACTTGTTCATGCATCAATGGAAAAGTTAGAACCAGGGATTACTCATCACCCCGGCTATGAAATGTTATTGTTAATTGATATGGGAAAAATAATGTAATATTAGAAACGTGAATACATGTATATATACAAGAGTTGGGAAGCTATCTAAGGAAACTAAATAAATTAGTATCCTATTCTAATTACACTAATTACATCTATAACACTCCCCCTCAAATTGGAGCATAGATATTAATCATGCCCAACTTGTTACAAAGATAAGCAACCCGAACCCCATTCAGAGCTTTCGTGAAAATATCCCCCAATTGTTCTCCAGTCTTCACATACCCTGTAGAGATCATACCTTGTTGAATTTTCTCCCGAACAAAATGACAGTCGATTTCGATGTGTTTAGTACGCTCATGAAATACAGGATTGGATGCAATATGAAGGGCAGCTTGGTTATCACACCACAGTTTTGCTGAAACTGAAGTCTTAAGGCCAATTTCAGTCAGGAGCTGATATATCCACATTACTTCACACATAGACTGTGCCATAGCCCTATATTCTGACTCTGCACTCGATCGTGACACAACGTTCTGCTTCTTACTCTTCCACGAGACCAAATTTCCTCCAACGAAGACGCAATAACCTGATGTGGATCTTCTATCTAATTTGGAACCTGCCCAATCTGCATCTGAAAAACATTCAATATGAGTGTGCCCATGATTTGCATACAAGATACAACGTCCGGGTGCTCCTTTCAAATAGCATAAAATTTGTTCTAACGCTGCCCAATGATGAACTGTTGGAGATGCCATAAACTGACTTACAACACTGACAGAAAATGCAATATCTGGACGAGTCACTGTAAGATAATTCAGCTTTCCAACCAATCTTCTATATCTCTCAGGATCCTCAATTAGGTCTCCATCACCTGTAAGGTGCATGTTAGGATTCATTGGAGCACTACATGGCTTTGCCCCCAATTTTCCTGTCTCAGTTAATAAGTCAAGGACATATTTTCGCTGAGATAAAAAGATACCTTTGTTACTCCTGGTAACTTCAACCCCCAAGAAATACTTTAGCCTCCCTAAGTCTTTCGTGTGAAACTGAGTATGAAGGAAAGACTTAAGTGATGAGATTCCCATAGCATCGCTTCCAGTAATGACAATGTCATCCACATACACAACTAAAAGAATGATACCAGCTTTCGATTGTTTGTAGAACACAGAATGGTCAGACTTGCTTTTCATCAATCCAAATTGTTCAACAGCCTGACTAAATTTTCCAAACCAAGCACGAGGACTCTGTTTCAAACCATGCAGAGACTTTCGAAGGCGACAAACATGCCCAGACTCCCCCTGAGCAACAAAACCAGGAGGTTGCTCCATATACACCTCCTCCAGAAGATCACCATGAAGAAAAGCATTTTTGATATCAAGTTGATGCAAAGGCCAATGATGAGTAGCTGCCAAAGAAATAAACAACCGAACAGATGTCAATTTAGCAACAGGAGAGAAAGTATCAGAATAGTCCACCCCATAGGTTTGAGCATATCCCTTAGCGACAAGACGGCTTTCAATCGAGCAACTGACCCATCTGGATTGACCTTTACGGTGAACACCCACTTGCAACCTATAGCCCGTTTCTCTGCAGGTAAACTAACCAAGTCTCAAGTACCATTTTCATCCAAAGCAGTCATTTCCTTGATCATTGCACGATGCCAACCTGGATGAGAGATGGCCTCACAAACAGTTTTAGGAATAGAGATAGAATCAAGGGATACAATAAAAGACTGTGAGGGAGACGACAAGCAGGTATAAGAAACAAAAGAAATAGGATAAGTACATTTACGTATACCTTTGCGTAATGCGATGGGAAGATCATCGCGCAGAACCGGATCTGATGACGAAGGAGCAGGTGCAGGACATGAATCAGGAACCTTATGCCTGGAGTAGACGTGAATAATAGGGGGCCTGACAGGAACTGGTTCGGAGAGAGGTTCGGAGGAAGTAAAAGAGTAGACGAGCAAATCATCCTCCTCTCCCTGTCGAGCGGGAGCAGGAGAAGACGGAAAATACGGTGTTGCTTCCATGAAGGTAACATCAATTGACACATGATATTTGTTAAGACTGGGACAATAACATCGATAACCTTTCTAAATACGAGAATAACCAAGGAAAATACACTTCAAAGATCGGGGATCTAACTTAGTGACATGCGGACGAACATCCCGAACAAAACAAGTGCTACCAAAGATTCTAGGTTCAACAGGAAATAGTGTCTTATTGACAAAAAGAATTTTGTAAGGGATCTCACCGTGAAGAACAGAGGATGGCATGCGATTGATTAGAAAACGTGCTGTGGAAACGGCATCGGCCCAAAAGGTTTTAGGAACATGCATTTGAAATAATAGGGCGCGTGCAGTTTCAAGAAGATGTCTGTTTTTACGTTCTGCGACCCCATTTTGAGATGGAGTATCAACACAAGAGGTCTCATGAAGTATGCCATTCTGGGCCATATAAGATTGAGATAAAGTGGACGTATATTCTTTGGCATTATCACTTCGTAAAGTACGGATTGAAATATTAAACTGAGTTTTAATCTCAGCATAAAATGCACAAAAAAGAGAAAACAACTCGGAACGATTTTTCATTAAATATAACCAAGTGACACGGGAATAATCGTCCACAAACGTAACAAAATACCGAAATCCAGGTTTAGATAAAACAGGACAAGGACCCCAAACATCAGAATGAACTAATTCGAAAGGAAAACTAGCACGTTTATGGACTTTAGGACTCGAACTAAGACGATGGTGTTTTGCAAACCGACATGACTCACAACCTAATAAAGACACCTTACTAAACTGGGGACAAAGTTTCTTGAGCAAACGAAGAGATGGATGACCTAACCGACAATGTGCCTCGAAGGGAGAGGTTACACCAGAGCAAGCAAAAGATGTAGGCAGTGGTGTGTCAAGAGTGTAGAGACCGCCAGACTCATGTCCTTTACCAATAATCTTTTTCGTCATAAGATCCTGAAATAAGCAGTAATCAGGGAAAAATGAGATACAACAGTTAAGATTGCGCGTAAGTTGGCTTACAGAAATCAAATTAAAGGATAAATTAGGTATATGCAAGACAGACGACAAAGGGAGCAGAGGAGTTAGGAGTAATTGTGCCGGACCCACGAACACACGATGGGGACCCATCGGCTAAAGTAACGGTAGAAGGGGAAGTATGAGATTGAAAAGTAGAAAAGAGACCAGAATTACCTGTCATATGATCTGTGGCACCAGAATCAATGACCCATTTGGAGGATGAGGAAAAAAGGCACGTATTTGGGTTACCTGAATCAGCAATGGCCGTAGCAGAGGGAGATGAAGACTGTAGGGATTCTTGATACTGTGAGAACTTGGCAAATTCATCTGCAAAGATAAGAACCGATTTTTCCAAATGATCACTGGTGGAAGAAACATGGGCTGAGGGAGCTCTCTGATTCCTATATTGAAGCTTACGACAATCACGCTTTGTATGTCCAGGCTTGTGACAATAATGGCACACAATTCCTCCAGAACCCAGTGGCCGAGAAGCAAGTCCCTGTGGGCCTCCTCCTTTGTTCCCACTCGGAGTTGTTGATCTCCCAGGCTCATAAGTACTTCGACTCACCAACGCACCACTAAGTGGAACAGGCGTAGTACCTTCAGTGCGGAGTACTCGAGTAAAGACATCATGCAGGGAAGGGATCTCAGAACCAGAAAGAACCTGAGACTTAGCAGTCTCAAGGTCAGAGGGAAGGCCAACAAGAAAACTCAATAATGGCCATTTGTTCTCGCTGGCGTTGCTGAACCTTCACATCAGGGCTAAAAGGTAATAACATATTAAGCTCTTCATATGTCCTCTTAAAAGCCATAAAATAATGCGTAAGAGACTAATCATGTTTGTCTACACGGTAAAAGGCCTTGCATACCTCATACATGCGAGAAAGGTTCCCTTTACCAGAATACAAAAAATCCAAATAATCCATCAACTCTTTAACAAATTCACAGTGATTGATCAAGCCAATCACATCGTTATCAATAGAATTCCGAATTTGCAAGAATAAGTGAGCATCCTCTCGAAGCCACGTCTGTTTGGAATCATCTAAAGGAGGATCATCAGTCAAATGAGTATCCTTGTGAATACTCCGGAGATAAAGTCGAACCGTCTTACTCCAATCCAAATAATTCAAGCCATTCAGTTTATGGTCTGTGATTTTAGACATCACAGGCACCATATCGGACACAACTATGGATTTCTTCTCAGCTATAGTCCCAAATAGAGATACAAGGTAGCAAATAAGACAAAAGAGACCTCTTCAAAAGCAAACAACAGCAAAAGAAACCAGCCCAGAGAAGACAGACACAACCCACACCCTAGAACTACCGGAAAAGGGCAGAGAGAAGCAAACCGGAGGGGACCGCCGGTCAAACGACGTCGCCGAAAGCAGCTGGGGACAGATGCAGGCCGGAAGGAGCTGTCGCGGACAGCTGCAGGCGACTAGGAGAAGTCGCGACCTGCTACAATGAGGAGATCTGACGGAGGCGGAGCTATGGAGGGGCGGACGGAGGCTGCAGGAGGCGCGGTGGACGCCGGACGTCGGGGAGCTGTCGGACGACGGTGGGCAGGAAGAAGACGGTATTTGCAAAATAGGGTTACCAAAAAATGGAACCCTAATACATCAAACCCTAATTTGTGTTTTTTTTTTTTTTTCTCAAAGGTTTTGCAACCCTAATGCTCTGATACCATGTTAATTGATATGGGAAAAATAATGTAATATTAGAAACGTGAATACATGTATATATACAAGAGTTGGGAAGCTATCTAAGGAAACTAAATAAATTAGTGTTCTATTCTAATTACACTAATTACATCTATAACAGTTATATTTGAGTATTCAGCATGAGTCGTCATCTGTTTACCTGATCCGAGACAAGGCACCAAGAAGCTGTGCAACAAGATCCAGAAGAAGGCCCCTTAAATCTACCAATGAAGGATAATCAACTTGGCTAACAACCCTGCAATTCGTAAAAAATGAGTTTGTACGACAGTTACAGAGGATGCAATTATGCTTTAAACTACAAAATAATTAATTACAAATTGAAAGTGTGTGTTTCTTTCTACATCATAATTTAACCACATTCTATAAAAACAATAAATGCATGACATACAAATCACTCATTGAACTCGTCTCCATATTAGAAATCAAGTTAAAATTGAAAATTCGGAACTCAGTAAGACAGGATAACATTTGGGCCTTCTTCTCTGCTTTAACTTAATGGACAGTGCTAAAGACAATTAACTGAAGATTTTTTTAGGATGGAGTTTGTACAGAAGATATAGAGTTTCTCAATGGCAAATGTCATTTAATATGTAGGTAGTAAATTGGTCTTTTGTAAAGAGATTACAGGGGGACAGAAACATTATCAATTAATTTCCATTACTTACATAAGGAAAATAAACACAAAAGTTCGTTCCATTTTGATCCATTAAGCATCCTCGTGAAATATAGCCAATAATTATTCATTTGCACCAACAGCAACCAATATGCACGATCATATTAACTGTGGACTGTGGTATATTACATTTACATTCTAAATTAATTACATGAACTTTAAAAATAATTATTTTATGTAGTTTGTATTTTTTGTACTCATTACGTGACAAATTGGCAATATAAAGACGTTTAGGGCACAAAGAACAAGAAAATTGAATCCACGCCACAATTGACACACATGATTGCACCTTAGTCAGAATTGAGACAGGAGCTGAAACATTACGACCCAGTACTTGCAACAATTTCTAAATTTAGCTTAATTGTTTACCTGTCTGCATTAATAAGCCAGTCGAAGACAAAATTTTCAAGCCCATTCCATAGATTTTCTGCCATTGGAAGAAGCACATCAAATATGAGGAAATGATAAAGTGTTAGGTGAAGGACAAGAAAACTATAAACTAAAACAATTAAACCAGGTCGTGAAATGGAGGTCAGGAGTTTAGAGCATGAACAAACCAGTAAGTCCTTCTTGCGGGCAACACTCCACAAAGCGAATACATGCTGAGCAAAATATACACTCTACTGCAAGCTGTAAAAAATAATATCACCATTAAACTCACGTACAGGTAAACCATGTTTATGATTTGAAATGTCTCTTCTGCAAGGTACACCCTTTTTTGTGTAGTAAACCTAGTATTTCCATTTGTCTTGTCAACAAATTAGAACATAAGAGAACATAAACAATTGTTACCTTAAACCAAAAACAATGTAGAAATGGATTTTTACGTTCATTGGATTTACTAATTCCACTCAGCTTTCAGCAGTCAGTCTGTGATCTCTCTTTTTCTTCCCCTAATTTTAGACTTTTAGTCACTTTGGTTAATTTTTTTTAAGTTTGATTGCGTGTTCTTTACTCAACCCTCAAAACAATAATAATAAAGAGGGAGAGAGAGACAATGAGAGGATATTAATCGGCCTCTCTTTTTTTTTCATTTTCTTTTTATAAGAGATCAATATGTTCTGCTTGCAATGAGGCAATGAAATTTCAACCAACTACAGCTGCAATTTTATATGAGACAGTGTAATTAATTCATTGTATTGGGAGAGGCAAACCTTTCTCTGAAATGTTGATGCATCGTTTGCACCTTTTGGTGATTCACTGCATAGCATCCAGACATATAATTCAAGTGAGACATCATGATTTGGCTTCAAAAGAGAAGCAGGAATTGAGGTTTAAAAATAAAGAAATGCTCACTAAAGAAATCATATCTTCTAGCTATATTGAGCCAATCATAATAAATAAGCTTTATAAATACAGTAACAGAAGGCATCATTTTGATAATGCTCAAGGCAGGGATGTTATCATTTTAGTGTTTTCTACCACCAGTGCCATGTGCTTACTGTGAGACATACGACATAACCAAGACCCCATTTTGGAATTGAAACAAGGAGATTAATATATTATCATCTGAAAAAATGAAATACGGTTACATTAAACTGTCAAGGTATTAAGAAATAACTGTTTTCGCTATTATTAATTACTCAGAGCCATAATGACTAGAAATTCCATGAGCATGAATCTTGGCACCTAAGATTCGAAACTAGAAGAAAAAATCATTGCTGGAAAAATCCATCAATCAGGCCAGCCACAGCTTGAGCCCAGACAAACGGCAAAATAAATTGCAGGATGGATTGAGTGTAGCACACGTCAATTAGAATTCTAGACCAATGGCACGTAATTAACATTAATGCGCGGACGCAGCAACTTTACTTTTTGAGGAAGTAAATCAAGAAATAAATCAGCAGATATCAAGGTATTAATTAGTAGTTATATGCATCGTTCCAGATATGCAATATATTTGACGTCATTACAGGCTACCTAGGGTTAAATTTTTTTGTGGGAACAGAAAATACCTTTCTCTCCACCGTAATAGAGCTTCCAATAAAGGTACAGGCGTGTGCCTCGCCACCATAGCTAAAGAGTCCAACACTTGCTCGTAAGCAGGATCTGATGGTCGAAGGTATTGCCCATCCTGCAATTAGTATGCAAAGGAAGAATAAAAACCAACTGATCCCATCATATAACGACATGCAAAGATTTCGCATTGCACCTTATGAGATGCAAGTGTGACTGATAAATACTACAATGACGTGTTAAAAGCTCCCACCGTAAAAATAAATAAATAAAAATTAAAATGTTAAAAGATTATGCCGTATCTGACATTTTTCTCCCTTTGACTGCCAGATGATCTTCCACGTGTTTTTTTCTCTCTCTGGAGCTATCATTCATATCTTTCCCTTTTGAATAATATAATTCTATCTTTTATTTTGTTTTCTTCTAGTCGTGGCTTTCTTTGCTCGGGCTAAAAAGCAAGAAATTTCATCACATGGAAAAAGTACACCAGCTGCAGATAGCAACTGATTGTGTATAACTAATTGTGAATTTTATTGAATGGTCAATAACCTGATAATCTATTATACTTGCACTCTGTATCCAAATTCAAATACCCGGAGTGCCTTGGCCAAATTCAGGATAAATAAGAGGACAAAATATATTCTAGTCCAATGTAATTGCATAAAACTACAATCTAAATCTCGTTATCTGCACTCCAACAACTCTGCATATCTTATTAATCAAACCCAACAAAAATTAAAAACCAATCAGAATCTTACTTGTGCTTGAGCTGTTTCGATGCGACGCCTGGCAAGCGGAAGGAAACGCTGCAACAGCGCATCAACAATCAGCTTGGCCGCGCTCCCAGCCTTCATTTATCCTGAAGTTGAATTAAAAACGCAATTCCAACTCCAAATTTCAAAATTGTTTCAACCTCATCTTGTTTTCGCTTTGGGGAACCCGAGACGCGATCCCAATTTGATAGAACTGCGAAACACCTGTAAAAACCATATAATTAAAATTACACATGAAATCAAGAGCACGAAAATAGCTAATTTCAACATGCCTCGAAGTTATGTTGGATCCCATTGAGACAGCGCATATATTACACACGAATACATGGTAATTAAATAATTGCAGATTTACATAATTTGAGGTTGGAGGGTTTAGGAATGTACCTTGTGAAGCCGATCGAGTGCTTTATTCTTTATTTACAGCCAGAAAATCCTTACTTTTCCTAGTTCTTCTTCCATTTTCATGAATTTTCCGTTCAATTTTTTTGTATCCTTTCCCCGTTTGGGAACTGAACAAGCGTGTAAAACCGAGGAAATACGAGGAAATGACTAATTCCAAAATGACTGTCTGCGAAATAGAATTAAAAAGATAAAAAGGTGAAATATAACTTTACTTAGAAAAAAGTCAAAAATATCCTAACTTTATCAAAGGGTAGGCTCTCACTCACGAATTTGGACCGACTGTCACTTGGGCCAAATAGCAGCCTGCCCAGATTCGGTTCCCAAATTCGGCTCCCAGATCCGACTATTGACAACGGGATCTGGGTCGGCTGTTATTTGGCCGCAGCCGGCGGGATCTGGGTCGGCTGTTATTTGGCAACAGCCGGCCCAGAGCACTAAATTTCTGTGCCGGCTGTTAAGTCGGCCCATATCTTCTATATATTAAATGTAGTTATGAAACGAAATATCTCTTTTTAACGGAATTTCTTGGTTTAACGGAAAAACTAACGGAATTTCTTGTTTTAATGAAAAACCCATAATCTGAGGTCGAACTTGAATTTATTTAAAACCTTATGGGCTAAAACTTAAAATTTAACCCCAATCCTTAAATTGCAACCAATGACCTTAACATATCAAATTTACCCAAGAAGCCCCCACCTCCTCAACTCCCAAAAATCGAAAAAAAACCTTTAATCTTCCATGATCGAAAAACCTAAATGGAGAAGCTCTTCCAATCCCGAGTGTAATTGAAAAAGGGGTTTCAGTTTTGTCTAGTTGTTACTGTAGATGTCCACAAGTTAAAAAAAATCCTCATTTTCTCCTCAACAATTTGCAGGCTGCATAGGGAGAGTTGTACTCAACTCACAATCGCTCCACCGCATCACTAGCCCTCTTCGTTCCACCACAACCACCCCCGACGCCGCTTCCACCATCACTACATTCCACGGGCTCTGCTACGTTGTGGGCGACAACATCGACACTGACCAAATCATCCCCGCCGAGTACCTCACTCTCGTCCCCTCCAACCTCGATGAGTACGAAAAGCTTGGTTCTTACGCCCTCATTGGCCTTCCATCTTTGTACGAAACTCGCTTCATTGACACGGGAGAAACCAAATCCAAATACTCCATTGTAATTCGGGAGATAATTTCGGCTGTGGCTCGTCCCGTGAGCATGCCCCTGTAGCCCTAGGTGCCTATGGGGTAGCTGCCGTTGTAGCCGAGTCATATGCTCAGATTTTCTTTAGGAATTACGTAGCCATTGGGGAGGTTTATCCACTGGAGTCGGAGGGAAGGTTGTGCAAGGAATGTAAGACTGGGGACGTTGTGACCATTGAGATTGGGGAGAGTGACAGCAAGTTGACTAATCATACATCTGGCAAGGAGGATAAGTTGAAGCCAATTGGGGATGCTGGGCCTGTGATTGAGGCTGGTGGGATTTTCGCCTATGCAAGAAAGACTGGGATGATTCCTTCGCGCTAAATCTCAAGGCTAGATTTTCCAGGTAAGTATCTTTGTTCTATTTGTACGCGATTGGCATATTTGGTTGAAACCTATGTGTTGATCTCAAGGCTAGATTTTCCAGGTAAGTATGTTTGTTCTATTTGTACGCTATTGGCTTATTTGGTTGAAACCTTTGTGTTGTAGATAGTTTCTACTTTTCTGCATAGGCACTGGCTGCTGTGTGTTTACTTGATGCTAAAAGCTTTGTTTTTTCCTTTTCTTGTACACATTGAATTAGGGCTTATTCGGTACTAGAAGTCTTTACGAATTAGTTTTAGATACATCCTTGAAAAATAAAAGGAAAACATGAAACATAAAAAGCACATAATAACAGTTTTGGAGTATGAGGAATTTACATCTTATCCATGCTACGTTTTTGCGGAAGCCAACAGACTTTCTCCTCTCCGAGAGTCCAACCTTATGTAATTCCTTCCATATCCATATTAGGTCATTCGAGCGGCTTTCATTCTCTCTCTCGAATCTATGCCTCTGAATTGTTGACATTGAAATTCAAAACCTCATATTTCTTCTCTAATTTAACTAATACAAACGTGTTATGTCAAGGATATGGAAAAGTATGGTGCAATACAAGTAGGTAATGGGAAGTGGGCTACTCCTCGAAGAAGCCCACACTTTGATTAATACAAGACCATTACTTCTTTATGTTAATTGATACTGACATGCCATTGTATTAATAATATGGCATCTGATTATTCGTGTTGAATATTTGGGTTATTTAGTAACCAGTGCAAACAACAGAACTCAAAATTGTAAGATTAACTCGGAAATCCTTGGAAGGAAGAAAGAAAAGAGGTAAAATAATTAGTGTCAATTTGTGTGGATGGGATATTCTTTTGGATTGGTACAAATGGGTGATCGGTAAAAGGTCACCCGTCCATTTAGACCCAATCACTAATTGTGCTGCATATATCAATCGATTGGTCACATGTACATTTGGTCAATTTACAACCTGCATCTAGCCTAAAAATAGTATTTCTTGTTATCATTCTAATATAGCTCTTTATTTGACTAGTGACTGTTCAACTTGTCTGTTATAGAAATCTGGTATTGCAAATAACTGAAGTGTCAAGGCCAAATATTTAATATAGCTTAAATATTACCTATCCTAGAATCAAATTGTTTTAGTTTGGGGATTTCATGATTGAGTCGCCTTAGATTCTAGCTGTTCCATACATATTACTTAATATAATTTTATTTAATTCTAAAAAGAGTCGTATTAGATTCTAGCTGTTCCATACATATTCCTGAATATAATTTTATTTAATTCTAAAACATAGAGTACATTAAGAATTCAAATAGCAAAGTGACACTCAAATTAATGTTGAATCCATGTATAATGTTTGGGAATAGAATAGGAATTACAAGCTAATTATTGTTGATAGCTAGCACAGGCTTGGAAGAGCAGGAAAGAGAACAGATACTTCTTTCAGGTGTTTAGTATTTCATTGGAGATATTCTAAAGAAGTCGGAGTTAACTCGTTTTTTGAATTAAGATAGTGTTATTTAACTTTCCATAAAATTAAATTTCCAAAATGCTAGCTGGTCCATGTGCTCAACCAAACATGAGTCAAAATTTATAAATATTGTAACAATTTTTTTTTTTTTTTAATTTCAGAACTAAAATCCAAGATAAAATTTGAAGAACTTGCATCCTATTGATGTTAATTTTTTGGCAAATTCAAATAGTCTGACTACGGTCTGTGTTTCTAAGTTTCTGTTACTGCTCATCCGCATTTCACATGCAATTGATGAGT